GCGGGCAAAAAAACAATGAAAAAAAATCATAATCTGACAGGTGTAATATATTCGAACAAAAAAAACAAGAAAAAAATTTCAAGGACATTTAAACAGAAAAAAAATGACAAATCAATCTAATTTTTTGTCCATACACGAAATGAATCAATTTCTTCAAAAAAAACAAGAAGAACAAGAAGAAGAAATGAAAAATCAAATCTTGCCAAATATAATCAAACAAAAAAGATTCAAAACAAATAAAGATGTTTTCAATGTGAAATCTGTATGATAATGATGATGGAAATTGAAATTAAATTCACAAATTTTTATTACGAAATTACGCAATGATTTCAGAATCAAGGTGGATCATCACCATCACCGACGCCGACACCAACACCTGTTGATTTTTTTTTTTTGTTCATCAATCAAATGACACACATATCATTTATGTTAATGTTTGTCACATGAAAAGATTATTTAAATATACTAATATTTAGTTTCAGTTTGTGCAAAAAAAAACTGTCCATTTAGGCCATTTAATTTGCACGAAAAAAAAAAAAAACAAATCTCCATCTCCAGAAGATTTTGAGCTTGTTTGCTGCTTGATTAGCCATGAAACCACAAAAGAATGTAAAAATGTAGACGACATTTGTGATGGATTCTAGTTTTTTTCTCAAGCAATAAAAATAGATTGCTTTAAATCGAGCGTTTAACAACAAGGAGAACAAAAAAAAAATTGAAGTTTTCCAACGAAAGTGTTAACAACCATCACCAGACAGCCATTGTCATATATGATGAACTTTCACCAAGACTTGTCTGGATATTATTATTATTATTGAATTAAAGATACTGGCAATTTTGAAATAAATCAATGTGTGTGTGTGTGTGTGTTTTTTCTCTGGTCATCATCATCATCATCATCATTCATCTGTATTGAATGTGGAAAAAAATTTATTTTTTCTTTTCATTCAAGATTTCCAAGATTTTCACCTGTCTGGATAGTTGATAATGACCATTCTATTGAATTTTTTTTTTTTTTTTTGATTTCAAAATTGTAATTGATATCAATTCAATCTGATTGATTTGATAACGAAATACCAATAGCAGCAGCAAATTTATTTTATTTCAATTGATCGATAAATGATGATGATGATGATGATGATACAATTAGTCTTTGCTGGAATGAATGGTAAGAAAAAAAAGCCGCATCATAAGAGTCATAGAGATGGAATCATAAATAGTAACATGAATGATAAGGAGAAAAAAAAAAAAATGGGAAGAAGGTATTTTGTTTGGATAGAAAAAAAAAAAAAAATTTTTTTCATTCAGAAAAAAAAATGAAGAGTGAAAGCAAACTTTTTCTCTCTCTTTTATCTGTTTTTCACAGACACTTTCTTTTTCTTTCAGTGTTTCATTTCATTTTTTTCGTTGTTAAAAGAAACAGAAAAAAATGATTGAAAATAAAGAGTATGCCAAGTATGGCAAAAAACAAAAAAATCCATATCGAAAGTGATGCACAAAAATGATGTTTCAGTTTGTGTTGAACTATCAACAAGTCTGTGTGTGTGTGTGTGTATGTGTGCATGTGAAACCCATTTGGTCAAGATTGATGAATTTGTAGTGGGTGTGTGTGTACGTTTACTGGTGCAATTTGAATTGTGTTTCTGGATATATTCAGTGATGAAAATCAACAGTGTCAGCGACAATTTTCAAATTGAAATTTAAATTTTCAATTTAAATGAAAAAACAAAATTATTTGTGAGAAACAAACGAACAAAAAAAAATTTCCATAAAATCTTCATCACCATAATCAACATATATTTATCATTTGCACTTAAACATCATCATATAATCATCATCAGAATTAATCTACTGGTGAGATCATCAACAACGACAACATTCCCACAAAATATATACGAGGAGCAAAAAAAAAATTTGTAAGTTTAATCCATTCAACAACAACAACAACAACAACAAAAAAAAAATGTCATGTCATTTATGTTACTCCAGTTATGTCATACATTTTTTTCCATCATGAAAAAAAAATTTTAAATAGCCACAACTTAGCCATTTGCTGGCCACCGGAATGTCCATGTCATCAAGGACATTTTTTTCCAGGTTATTGACGGTGAAAATGATTTTTTTTAGAAATTTAATAAACACACATGTATTAAATGATCATCATGAAGAGAGGAAAAGTTTTTATTTTGAGTGCAAATGAAAATTGAAAATTTCAACAAGAAAAAAAACAATAATCAAAAGTTTAAAATTTTTAAAGCAATAATTACGATGATGATGGTAATGGTTCATTTTTAAAAAATCGACAAAAAAAATCAATTTGTCTGGTTATTTTTTTTGTGAAATAAATCACAGCTGCTGCTACTAATTTAAATGATTTTTTGAGCCAGAAAAAAATGAAAAATCTGAATCTGGATTTGCTTCGGGCAAATGACCGATGATGATGATGAACCAGGTATCGATCGATTGTTGTTGTTGCTGTCTTTGTTTTCTTAAATAGTACAAAACAATTTAGATTTGAATATTCATTGAAATCATAAAAAAATCGATCGATCGATTAATGAGAATAATCTGAATGTAGCAAAAAAAACGTCCACCCAAAAAAATTGTTTACATTTTTTTCTACATTTTTTTCTGGGCAAACCTTTATCTTGGGATACAGAAATAGATTTGTTTGATTTTTTTTCTCGCTGTACCAAATAAGATTGTACGATTGTGAACAGAAACTTTACGGGAAATTTTGCATTTTTCATGTCAAATTTTTTTTTTTGTTCGCAATCTTTTTTTCCGGTTTCACTATTGTATTGCTACTATGGCGAATGAAGAAGAAAAATCAGTGTGATCAATTGTGATTAGCTACCAGATAACGCCCAAGGCGCGCGCACACACACACACACACACACCCACACCAAAACAAAGTGATTTATAGATTTTTATCAGTGCAAAAAAAACAGTGACGAATCAAATTTTTTTGATCATTTTGAAATACAAATTACAAATCTACATCCACCAGATGACAACAACAAAAAAAAAGATTATTCTGCCATCAAATTCAGTCTTAAATAGGTATAGATAGATATAGATCTTTGAAAAGATTTATTTTTCTCTTCATTTTAATTTGACAATATTGATGATAATCATATATGATGGGAATCAACAGTATATTCATGACAGATCAATAATTCAATTCAATCTGATCATTGTGATCATAATCTGATGGATCAATCAGTTACTGAAAAAAAAAAAACAAACGAAAAAAAATGTCTCAAAAACAAAACAAAAAAAAAAGAATAATCCATTTGTAAATAGTTTTTTTTCCAAATCAATCAATCAATCAATCAATCAGAGATTGAATTTGATAGAGAAATCAAATAAAAATGGGGCGTGCGTGTGTGTGTGTGTGTGTGCGTGTTTGAACAATTTTAAAATTGAAAAAAAAACAATAGAAAAATATCGATGATGATCGTGATCAATAAGAAGAAGAAGAAGAAGAGAATTATGTAACAATGTGATTTGTGTGTTGTGATTTTTTTTTTTTTTGGTGGGAGATAAAATTTTTATTTTTATTTTTGTTAATCTGACATTTAAAATTACTCTGTTGATTTTGATGAGAAATTTAACCTCAATCATTGTGTGTGTGTGTGATGGTCATCATTCTTTAGAATTCCATGATAAATGTGCCATTTTGCCTCCACTGTTTGCATAAAAAAAAGGATTAACAATTATCATGTCAACAATGACGACGAAAACGAAAAATTGGGAAAAAATTGAGCATCATCGATCTATCATTTTCAAATATATACAAAACATTACATTGTAACAACAACAACAACAACAAATGTTGCGAAACAAATGAATTATATGTGTATTCACACAGACAACAAACATGCACGCACTTTAAATCGATTATATATCGTAGAAAATTATACAATTTAACCAATTTGAATGTCATCAATGTTTCATTGTCATCATCATCATTATCATCATCAGCAGCAGCAACAAAAATCGATGATTTTGGAACTAGACACACACACACACTGTGGTCTTTTGGTCAATAAAAAAAACATCAAAAAAGAAGATGTTGATGATGATGATGATGGCAATAATTGATCTTTCTTTTTTTTCTCATAGACATTTGCAACAAAAAAAAACATTTCGATTGCATGATGATTAATAATCATTTTCATTGTCTCAATCTCTATTGAAATTTAGCATAAAATACAGCGTGTATGTTTGTGTATGTAGATTCGCCATTGGCCATTACATGATGATCATCATCATTATTGAATGGTCAAAATGAAGATGCATGTGATTCAAGCTATTGATCTATCGTATATTTATTACTTATATATATATAGAAATTAGATCATCAAACATTTGGAATAAAGGGGATGAGACAAATTATGATTTTTTTTTCTCTGTCAATGATTAGTTAGTTTTGTGTGGTTAAAAATGAAAATGACCAAAAAACATTAGATTTTGATGTTCATTGAGGTTATTTTAAGAGAGAGAGACAGTGGTATCACTCACAAATTGTTCCTGAAATGATCTAATCAATTGATTTGATCATTATAATTATTTGGTGATGATAATAATAATGTCATCATCAAAGTGATTTGTATGAAAGACACAGAGAGCGAGAGATTGCAAAGATAAAAAAAATGTATTGGAATGAGAAAATTACCGGCCATAGCAGCAGTAGCAGCAGTAGCAGAAGCAAGTCTAAATCCATCAAAATCACGTCAATATCAAAAACGAACCAGAAAAAAAATGAAATGAAATAAAATAACATCACACTTTTCGCCGGAAGCAAATTTTCAGGAAAATCAACAAAAAAAATTATCAGATGATGATGATAATGATGTTTACGAAAAATAAAAATATCCTAAAAATCAAACTGATGGCGTGTTTTTTCAACAACAACAACAACAACAACAACAAAAACATTCCAAAAATATCTTTATCTTTGAAAATTAAGCTTTTTTTCCAATTTAATTTATTAGTTTGAAGCAAATTTTTGATTTTTTGTTTGCTTGTTTGTTTGTTTTTTTTTAATTTCATTCTTTGATATTTTCATTTTTTTTCTACCAATAAAATTATTCTGATTATATAGATCATGAAATCATCAATCCAATGTTTGACAGATGGATAATTGAATCATCATCATAATAGTGACGAAAAGAACAAAAAAAAAAATTCAAAAATGGCCAAATGTCATTATAAACGACGACGATTATCATCATCATCATCATCACCATTATTGCCAAATTTATTGTCCAAATCGCCATTAAATTCGACAATCATAAAACAACAAACATTTTCAAATCATCGACAATATAATAATGATAATATGGATTATTATTTATCAAAAAATTATTCACTAAAGCCGTTTATGATGATAATCATTACAATTTTATTATTATTCATCAATTCCATTTCAAATGTTCAAGCAAATTCATCAACATTTCAATTGTTGCCACAAGATGTCGCCAAACATATTGATGTTGATAATTCTTATTCAACATCCAGCAGCAGCAGCAGCAGTACTACGGCTAAAGGTATGATTATTTTGTTTTTATTTTTTTGAAAACTTTTTAATTAATCAATCAATTTTAACATCGATTATTAGATATTAGAAAATTATTAGAAGATTATGTTCAATATTTGGCAAGTTTACCGGATATTCGTAAAGAAATACGTGAAAAAAATCACAGTCAAAAATCACAACATGATATTATTTCAACAGCTGAAACAAATGATGATGAGAAAGCTATTCATCATCCACGATTGACAGCATATCGTACATTAGTACCGATAATCAACCATCCTAGTTCTCAAGGAGAATATGTTTATCATCATCATCATCATCATCATGTTGAGGATGATAATAATGATGAACGACGACGATTACGAAATAATTTTGATGAAACAAATGTTTCCACAACAAAACAAAAATCAAAACAATCATCATCATCATCATCAACAATACAGCCACGACGAAAATCTGATCAGAATTCAATAATAGTTGCCGGTAATGGATATGGTGAATCTGGTGTATCACTTAGTTTGAATAATGAAGAACTAAATTCATTTATTCATACTGTATTGGGAACAAAAAAAGATCGACCAACAACAACAACAACAACCACTACAGCAACGATAACAACCACTACTGAATTACCATCATCAATGGTAGATGGTGATAGTGATGATGAACAACTGTCCAATATGACTATCAATAATGATGTAACTTATAATAATGATCTTGCCATTGAAGAATTGATGGCCTATGTTGATCCAGACGATGATGATGACAATGACGGCGACGACGATGACGACAACAACAATAATGATGATGATGATGATGATAAGATTGAACATCGACGAAATAATTCTACGAAATATTCAAATGAAACATCCACCATAGAAACAAGTACTTTACAGCCATTAATGATAACGACCACAATCGATCCATTTTCATCATCCAAAATGATAACTACTACTGCAAATAAATCGTCGAATAATAATGATCAAGTTTCCGGTGAAATATCCGTCACTGATTTACATAATAATATTGTTAATGGTGATCACGAATCATCAACGATGACTACAATAGCTAATTTGATAATCGAAAATCAAATCAATTCGACAAAAATAGCTGCTGCTTCTGCTTCTGCTGATGATGATGATGATCGTCATTCAAATCGACAACAATCAATAGAAAAACAACCACAAATGTTGCTTGAAATCAATCAAAATGATTTATTAGAACAGCTAAAACGTACACGAGAATTGTTGAGTATTCAAATTGAAAAATTGAAAACATTAGAAAAAACAGTGTTCCGGCGAAGGAAAACTGTGCCGACGGAATCGATTAATGATACAACAACAGCAACAACAACAACAACAACAGCAGCTGTATCACAATCAATGATAACAACGGAATCACCATTTGATATGACAACTGAATCATCATCAAATTTTAATCATCAAAATAATAATCAAATTGATCAATCATCACGTATTAATAATAATAAAAGCAATATTTTCGATAAAAGTTTCTTAAATAATGAAACATTTAATGAAATGTCAACAATGACAAGTGCACCAGAATATTCATCATCATCATCATCATCATCATCATCATCATCATCACCATACATTGAATTGATTACATTGAATATCAATAAGAACATTACGGCTACTTCTGCTGCTGCTGCTGCTGCTACTGCTACTACTACTATTCAACCATTTGATGAAAATGATGATGGATCCTATTATGAAACAACAACAACAACAACAATGGCAACGACAGCTATTCCAACCTTTAAGCATAATGAAAAAAGTTTTCATATGAATTTGATAAAAGAAAATAGCAATAAGAATGATGATGATGATGATGATGATGAGATAATTTATTCGAGAAATTTTCCATCCAAATCAATTCAACTAAATTATAATGGCAAGTCATCAAATAATAAAGATGTTGATGATAATGGCAATGGCAATAGTGATGATGATGATGATGATTATGGAAGAATCGATTCCAATTTGAAAATAATCAAATTGAATGATACTACTATTAATAATAATGATAAATCAAAATCATCATCAACAATAATACCAATGAAAATGTCAACAACAACAACAAAACATCGTCAAAAACAGCCATATTAATGCCAATCATTATTGAACAAAATAATGATAAGAATATTCGATTATTATCAAATAATCATAATAATAATAATGTATCCGAATCGATAATGCCAATAATTAATTCATCATCATCATCATCATCTACAACGCCATCACCATCATCATTGTTTGCTATTGATGAACCAAATTCAGTTTTAATCTTATCACATAGTAGTAGTGGTGCTAGTACAGCTGAACCAATCAATAAAAATTACAATGTTAATAATAATGAAAATGAAACTGTCAACAAAAACAACAACAATAATAATAATAATATAAAGAATGAATCAAATATTGAAACAATGATATTAACACATGTACCAAAAATAACGATTATTCATAAGATTATGAAACCATATCGTAATGCTAATAATGGTGGTAGTAGTAGTAGTAGTAGTAGTAGATTGACAAAAATTGATAAACAAAATATAAAAGATCAATCAATCGATAATAATAATAATAATCATCTGACTAATAAACAGCAACGAGAATATTTATTTGAATCATCAGATGAAAATATCTATCAAGAAGCATTACGTCGCCATCAAGATCTAATACGATCAACAATGTCATCAATGTCATTGTATCCGGCATCAATAAAACGTTATCGTATACGAAATGGTACTGGTAATAATAGTAGAATCAATAATGTAGGTGAAATGTATTTGTTACCGAATTTTTCCAACAATGGATCACGGCAACAAACAAATATTAGTATTGCTAAATCGATTAATCATCATCAATCATCACCATTGATACATCAGGTTGTTGTACCTACTATTGTACCGACATTATCGTTGGATGATGATAATAATAATAATAATTCCAACAATAATACATTTGGTTCAGCTTCGGAATATAGTGAAATATTGATTGGATCATCATCAAGTGATCAAACAAATAATAATGTTGGAAAAAACAATGAGAAAACAGATATGAATAAAAATCAACAACAACAACAACAATCACAAATTGAAAATAACAATAATAACGATAATAATAATCATATTATGATTCCAAGAAATAAATTTAATAATAATCACAATGTTTTTGAACTTGAAATTAATGATCATGATCATGATCATGATCATCAACAACAGCATCCACGAATATCAAGAATAAGAAATGGAAAAAATCAATCGAAAAAGAAACGTACAAAATTGTTGTTAAATTATCAAACAATAATGGCCATAAATAGAAATCCAGAAAATTTATTACGATTATATCGTCCACGTTTTAAGAATAGAAAACGTTTCCGTAAAATTCGGCTACCAAATGGTTATCGTTCAATGAGAAAAGATAATAATAATACGGATTTTTCCATTGACAATCGTCCATTATCAACAATAACTGAAGATAATGTCATAACTACTACTACATCACCACCAACAACAACGACAACACCATCATTGAGTATTGATGATGACATTTCCGATTCATTCATAAAGGAAGTAGAAAACAATGAAATATTACGACAAACTACAACAACAATAATGCCAGAAATTGAATCAATGAATTTAATCAATCGTACTAATGATATTTCTGATGATTCTGGAATTTCAATCACAACAACAACAACAACAACAACAATGGAACCTCCAACAACAGAATTTATAATCGAAAATAAACGTGAAAAAATAAATAATTCAACAGCAACAATCAATATTGTACCAGCTAATGTTTTAATCAATAGTACAATCAATAATCGATTGATGATGAATCAAACAAATAATTTTAAAATATTCTGCACATATGATGCATATCGATCGATTCCATTTGCTGATTATGATAATGATGGTGATAATAATAGTGACAAGAATAAGAATAATGATAAAGGTCGATATTTTGATATTGATCAATTGGAAAAGAATTCAATGTTTTTAAAATATTGTACACATTTAATCTATGCATTTGCCAATATTGATTTAAATGGTGAACTATATACTGGATTGAATGCAATACAACAGGATAGTGAACGTAATCGTGAATACAATCAAGAATGTTTATTACGATTGCAGAAACTTAAAAGAAATAATCCACATTTAAAGCTATTAGTGGCTGTTGGTGGCTGGGATACACCGCCGCAATTGTTTTCGTTGATGGTTGCCACCGGCAAACTTCGTGATCATCTTAGTACGAATATTTATAAATTTGTACATGAAAATGGTTTCGATGGTGCCATCATTGCATGGTTCTATCCAGTTTATGGTAGTAAATCATCAATGGATTCACGTTCAACACGTGCAACATACAGTAGCCATAGCATGTTTCAATTTGATGATAAACAAAATCTAATTAAATTTGTACGATCAATGAGAAAAAAATTCGATTCGATTCGTAGACGAAATCAACCACATCGTTTGGAGCTAGGATTAATGGTGCCGCCATTTCAAGAATTTATTGATCGTGGTTATGATGCCAAAAAATTAGCTGAGTAAGTATATTGAGAATTTTTTCACCAGATTCTATACTGATCTTTTTTTTGTAGGTCAGTGGATCATTTGATATTGATGACATATGATTATTATGGATCCTGGGAGAATCATGTACATCATTTTTCACCACTATATGCACAGAATAATAATACATTTGATGAAAGAAATAGTAAATTTAATATTGTAAGTTTGTTTTTTGGCAATCTCTATATGTTTACCAATTATTTTTCGCTTTCTTGGATTTTTTTTTCTTGTACATGTAGAATTATACCGTCAACTATTGGATCAATGGAAAACAAGCGCCAAGAAATCAAACGATGATTGGTGTTGCATTTTATGGACGTAGTTTTACATTGGCCAATCAATTGAATGCTAAAATTGGTTCATTATCGATCGGACCTGGTTTAGCTGGACCGATAACCAATCGTCCGGGATTACTTTCATTCAATGAGGTAAATTTGAAAATTGGAAAAAAAAGAAACATGATATTTTTGATTTCCTGATAATTATCAAACATTTTTACATTCTTTTCAACAATATAGCTTTGTGAATTATATTTAGGAAATCAAAACGTTCGATTAAGTGAAGATGAATATCGTATAACAGCAAATCTACAATTACATGATCAATGGGTCGGTTTTGATGATGAATTAAGTCTTTATTTGAAAACAAAATATGCACTTGGCAATCATTTATCCGGTATATTTATTTGGTCAATCAATTATGATGATTATAGAAATCGTTGTGGTTGGGGACAATTTCCATTATTGAAAGCGGTGAACAAAGCTGTTGAACATTGTACATTATGGAAACAATGTTCACCATATATAATAAGAAATAGTAATTCACAAATAGCTCAAAACTCATCATCATCATCATCATCATCATCATTAGCCTTAACGACGACGAGAAGAAGAAAAAGATGAGCCATTTCTACACCAGAAAAAAAGGCATTTTTCCGCACACACACACACGAATCTATTTAATGGGATCGAACATTTGTGTCTATTGGCATGGCTTATTGTTTGGTTCGAAAAGAAAAAACCAAAAAAAATTTTCATTTTCGAAAAAAAAAAAATTTTTTCTCCTTATACACTCGTTCTCACATTTTATTTTCAACTACAACAACCGCACACACCCATACACACACATACACACTGAGAATCAAGTTATTATTATTCGTGTTTGTATGTTTTTTTGACAGAATATTATTCCGGTTTTGTTGGATGATGATCCATATTTTTTATTTTATTTTATTTTGCACACAATTTTGTTTCATTTTTTTTTTGTTGTTGTTGCTTTCTCTCCATCTCTCAGTACATGTTTCAAAATTGATTTTTTTGCATTCACACCATTTGCTTTTGTAAATATATAAATGAATTTAATTTAAATTAAAAAAAAAATTTAATTTGACAATGAAAATGCGTTGATGTTATTTTAAAAATCTCGTAAAGCTCAATGCTGCCGGCAGATGGCTTTACGCTGGCGGCAAAATTTCGTTTTTTTTTTTTGATTTTGATAATGAAATTATTTATTCATTTTTGTTTGTGTGTTAGAATGGCGAGAGAAAAAAAAATTCAATTAAATTCTGAATATTTGAAAATTGATTGAAATATGCAAAACAATTGGCCATTAATAGACACATAGAAAGTTTGGTTTTTATTATTTTTGCTTTTGTATTTTATTTTTTTTTTTCATTAGTGTACCATTATAACAATGTTTTCGATACAAATTATCGGTACACTAATCATCATAATGATTATTGGAGCAAATGCAGATGATGCAATGAATATATCGATGGAAGAAAGACTGAGTAGTATTGATGATGAACTTGCGAAAAAATGCAATGAAAAATCGACGAAAATAATGGTAAATAAAACGGTTGATGATGAAGGTGAACGATGCCATTGCGTTGGTTATTTGATTCGTAAATGTATTAAAGATTTTTGTTACAAAAAAGACATGAAAGATTTTGATTTTTGTAAAAAAGAATATAATTATGTAAATGTATTGAAGTGTCCACCAATGACAAAACAATCATGGGTTTCTAAGATTTCACCGATATTTTGTTCAAATTTGCCAGGAAAATCATCATCAACTGGTGGCATACCTTTATGGGCAATGATAGTTCTTGGCATTGTTATAGTGGTACTTATATCATGTTTATTATTATTCGTGTTTCTTTGTTCATCTGGTAAATCAACAAATCGATCAAAAAATGGCGATATGAAACGTGGACAAAGAAAATCACAATCAAAACAAGAGGTATCGGTTTCAGCATCAAATAGTAAAGCAAGATCTAATGCTGGTGGTTCATCAAGCAAAATGAAAAGTTCTATGAGCCGTTATTAATCTTATTTCAATATATATCCATGGGTGTGTGTGTGAAGTGTATAATGTTTATATATATGGATATATAGAGAATGTATAATTAAAAAATATATGTATATTCCGAGCTCAAAAAAAAAAAAAACTTTCCTGTTGATTTTTTTTTCATTTTTTCGAATATTCATTTCACCACATTTTTGTGTGTGTTGAATTTTTTCTTTGATAAATGAATTATTTAATTAACCTAATTAGTTTGATGTGGTGGTTATAATAAGTTTGTTAAAATTTTTTTTCAATATTATGCATTTTAAATGCAACAAACAATGATCATCATCATCATCATAATGATTCATATTGCAACGACAACAAATGCAAATGATGCAATGATGTTGACATTGAAAACATTGAAACGAGATCCATCACCATTTGAATATAAAGTATTAGAAGATTGTTCGCATCAAGCAAACTATACGATGTTTGAAAAAATTTATGAAGATCTAAGTGAACTATGTTATTGTTTACGTGAAATAATGAAAAAATGTGTTAAAGATTTCTGTATTAAAAATGATAAAAATGAGTTACTTGAGATTTGTAAATTGTCAGAATATTATTCTGATATTCAGTTTATTTGTAGCTCAAAAGGAAAAGCACCATGGGTTGATAAATTATCGGCAGATTTTTGTCTACATTTACCATCATCGACCGGTTTGCCTATATGGATAAAGATTATTATCGCCATTTTATGTATAGTATTGTTATTAAGTGGTGCATCATTTATTTGGCATCATTATTCAACTGGTGGTCGATCAACAATTCAAAGATCAAAGAGAAGAAAAAGTAGAAGACAAAGTCAGCGACAAGAAATGTCCATTTCAGCATCAAATAGTAGAGCAAAATCTATGAGAAGCAAAACAATTTCATCTAGTAAGAAAAAAATGTCCGGAATCTGATCTTTAATAGCAGTAGTATATGGAAAATGAAAATTATCTCAATTTGAAAACGTAGAAAAAAATCACCAATAATAAACTTGATAATCGATAATATACTTTTTATTATGATTCATAGAGTTAACATTTAATTATTTTTTTTTCTCTCGAAGAAAATTCACACATTTTATTCGAAAAAAAAATGTAATGTGCGAGCGAGTGGTGGGTGGGTAAGTGTTCTTTTTTTTTGGTGCCAAACAAACAAACAAACAAAATCAACAATAAGTGTGGGTGGATCCCCAAGTGTGTGTGTGTGTGTGTGTGTGCCATTTAGTGCCCAAAAATAAAATAAATAAATTCTCTTTCTCTTTTATTATTCTGTATGTGGAAGCAATATTGTGTTATTTTCATCATTAAACTGTTAATTTATATCGTCCAGCATAACTTTGATAGGCATCATCAATTGAACCATCCATTATTTGCCCTGTTGTTGTTGTTGCTGTGCTGTTGACGATCCTGTTGCTACTGTATCATTATCATCACGATACATTTGTGCAATATTTGGATTTGAACTTGGACTACGTAATCGATAATTAGATGATGAATATGGTATACCAACATTTCCACTTGGTATCTGCGGTAATTGATGATGATGATGATGATGATGTTGTTGTTGTTGTTGATGATGATAAGATTGTTGTTGATGGTGGTGCGTTGAATAAGCTTGTTGTTGTCCATGATATTGTTGTTGTTGTAGATGATGATGATGATGATGTGGTGTTGTTGGACCAGAAAATGAATGCCGTGTTGTTGTTGGTAATGATATACCTTGTTCAAGATTACTACCAAGATAAGATGCCAATGATAGTTGCTGTTGTTGTTGTTGTTGTTGTTGTTGAGCAATATTAATCATTGTTGTTGATTGCATTGGACTACTTGGTACCGGTGTAGCACTTCTTTCTGTAGAATAATTAATTGCTTCTGGTCGTGAAATTGTTCGCGAACCGGATCCAGTAGTAGTATTACAATGTTCATAATAAGAATCAGATGGTGTTTGTGTTGTTGTTGATCCAGATGCAATAGCTGCTGCTGCCGCTATAGCAGCTGTATTCATATCATCAATTAGATGATGATGATTATTATTATTATTATAATAACCAGAATTATTTGCATTATCTAATTGTGATGAACCACGATACGATGATGATGATGGTGTATTTGTACCACCAGTACCGGCACCACCAGCACCACTTCCAGTACAGCTAGCACCACCACTACCAGTTCCATAACCAATTAGATTTGAATTACACGGTGGATTAGGTTTCGATGGCGATGAAATACTAAGACGTGACATATTATTTTGTACATTAATCTGATTATTAGCCATGGATATTGAACGTTGATAAGCAAATATTTGCCGCTCAAGGCTATAATTTTCTTTGGTCAATGCAGCTATTTCTCGTCTATTTAATCAAAATCAAAACAAAACAAAACAAAAAACAAAATATAAATCAGACAAACAACAGAAAAAAAAGTGAAAACACTGACCTCATTTGATGGCAATGCATTCGTGCAATATCATCATATTTATGATAGATATGATTGAATAACATAATCGAATCATACCATTCCACGTGTACGGTTAGATTGGTATCATTTTCAAGATACTTTTTACCCGATGATTTAATCTAATATATATTTTTAAATCATGGTAATGAGAAAAATGTTGATTAATTAACATATAAATTGAATACATATGAGATTTTTTTTTATGTAACACATACATCGGATACAGGAACATCGGTTTCCATAACAACACCCATGTCGATACCATCCTGTATATAATAATTATAATGTGGTGAATTTTTTACCATTATATTCTCTGTTTGTCCAGAATTATTATGTATAGTATCTGATTGTGCAATCAGATAAATATACCAAGAAACATAACGTAAATGATTACGTGGTACAGAATGCATATCCATAAAATAAAGTTTCAATTTAAGCATTTCACTTTCCATATCGGATTCAATACTCCAGCCTTGTTTATTACGATCATAACAATTAATTGTTGGCGATATTGAACGTGTAATTGATACTTTTACTTCACTGATTGGATTACAGCTATAGAATTCAAAATATAAATTTGCCATACCCATTGCTGTGAGCTGTGCAAATGTATGTGAATCAATCTGATATCCACGTGATCGTCCATTCATATCGGATATTTGTTCAATCATACCGGAATCTTCACGGATTTGATCCTGACCCAATACAATACGATATTGTATACGACATGCATTTTCGAATCCAGTTAAACGATTCAAGAATATTAAATAGGAACGATTTGATTTTCCGCCACCACTACCACTACTATTGCCACCAGTAGCACCGAAAATATCCGTATCATTCTGTGAATCTTTAAATAATCCACGTACCATACTGGCCGGTCCACCACCACCGCTATTTGCATTATGCATCATAATCGATATATTCCATTCGAATGTTGCAAAATGAAAATAACTTGTCTCTAGTTTACCATTTTTAAACATAACTTTCGTCGGTACATTCACTGGATTATTCGATTGTTGTTGCTGTTGCTGTTGCTGCTGCTGATGTTGTTGTTGTTGTTGTTGTTGTGGATTATTACCAGAATTTTGTTGTAAACAAATATTTGTCTCATAAACAGTCATTAAATTGCTTAGGCTTAATTCCAATAAAAATTCACCAGTTTCATCGCCAAAATTACGTGTCTGTATATCTGATAATGGTATCCATTTGTTTATTCCCTATGAGAAAGATAGACGAAAAAAAAACAATGAATTAATCCATAAATTTTATCACTAGAAAAAAAATTGTTTGTGTCCAGCCAGAAAAAAAAACCAACTAAAAATTGATCCAACAAAAAAAAAAAAAAAAATTAACACCATCAATGGCCATTTATTAATGATTCTGGTACCACATGCATGCACACATACATCACTCTAATCAACATTATTAGAATCTTATGTTTTAAAAGCGGTGAAACGAAACCATGTTAACATGAAAAATGAATTCCACAGACACACATTCACACACACAAAAATAAAACGAAAAAAAAATAACATCGTCATCAATGTAATAGTTACGGTCATCTTAATATCTGTGCTAAATAATAAGCCTCTTATATTATAAAGAATGGCAATTTATTTCCTTTTCTCTCTCTCTCTTTCACACACACTCTGGATCTTGGTTGAAACTTGAGTTTGAATGTGTTTTTTTTTCTCTTCATTCTTAAGGGTGCCCATAAGATGATGATCATCATCATGCTGGTGAAAGAGAAAAAAAGCAATATCTTTTCATTTGACGCCATAAAAAAAAGCAATAGACGAATAGTGAAGAATTTGCTTCAAATGTATAAAGATGATGATGATGATGATGATGGTGGTTTTGGGTGATAAGTAAGCAGTTTTTTTCTCTTGAAAAAAAATAAAAAAAAAGATCAAGTCACAAGTTTGTGAATGGTTAAAAAAAAGAAAGGTTAGAAAGATTGAAGTGAGAGAAAAAAAATGGATTCAAATCATAATCGAAACAAACATACTTGAAATAGAGAATTACAGAATAAGAGAAAAAAACAACAACAACAACAACAAAATACCATCATCTATGAATCATCACCGAATAATAAAGTTCTTATTCATCAGAATTGGCCAATTTTTTGTTCATTCAACTTTTAGTGTTTTAGTCTTCTGGGATGTTCAGATGATGATTAAATTTTACTTGATATATCGAATGGACATCAACACTGCTGTTCGTGTGCGTGTGTGTGTGTGTGCATCTGCTCTCTCAAAGCCAATCTAAACACAATATACACACACACACTTGTGATGAATACAAACAAGAAAAAACTATCTGAAAGCCGAAAAAATAACTTATAAAGAAGATGAAAGAAAAAAAAACCTCGAGAATACAAATGCCAAACAAAGAAAAAAAAAAGATAAAAAAAATTGGTCAACAAAAAACGTACTGGTATTATTATCAACATTATATCTCGAACAAAAGTCGTTATTTTTCGCTTGATCTATTTTTTTTTTTCATCTATATCCACCTAAATTTCATTTCACATTTTTTTTTGCTAGTGTCACATGGTTCATAGATTATGATGATGAATGAATTTCATCTCACGTTTCATCACAATAACAACAACAACAACAACAACAACAAATTCTTCATTCAGTTCAATGAAAAAAAAAAATAATTCATTCGACCATGACCATAAATTCCGTGAATGATGATGATGATGATGATGGCCAACCCAACTTAACACTTTCACTTGTCAATTATTATATCACACACACACAAAATCACAATCAATTATTGAATTATTTTTTTGCTCACTTTGTGGTCGAACCAATTTTTTGGACATTGACATTTTTTGATGGATGAATAAAAGTGGATGAATTTTTTTTTTACTTGAAAATTGATTTGATGACGCCCAAACAATTTTTTTTTGAAAATCCAAAAAAAATTGCAATATTGAAGCCTTGTTTGCCATTGAACAAAACGTTGAACGTTTTAAAAAATAAAACGTAACAATCATGTGATTTGTTGTGTTTGTGTTGATGAATAAAATGGAAAATGGAAAAAAAAATTTCCCTTTCACGTTCAAAAAACAATGAAAACTTTTTTTTCGCCGTTGAAACTACAATGAAAATGATGAACAAACATTAAACTGAATTTTACTTTGTGTGTGTGTGTGTTAAATTCTCCTTTGGGCTGTTGTTGTTTGATTTTTCGATTCACAAATCGAAATTTTGACAAAAATTTTTTTTTTTTTTTGCCAAATTCTATACAATTGTATGTTGTTATGGTTATGAAAAAAAGAGAAAAAAAAAATCTTTCGATCAAACAAAGAAAAAAAAATGGTGAAAATTCGTGTTGCACTATGGTGCAAAACTTTTTCTTTTTTCTTTTTTCAAAATTTAATTCATAAATCTAAAAGTTTAAGTGCGATATAATATGGAAGTAAGTGAGTAGGAATGGAAATTGAAAATTTCGTTACAAAATTTCAAATATATATTTTTATGGAACTTGTTTCTGTTTTCACTTTTTTTTTATTCTTCAATAATTTAATATTAAATCCGATTTTTATTTGAATTTTTTACTTTATTTTTTTTGGGTCAAATATTGAATTTCAAATTTTATTCTTGAACACACAACAAGAAGAAGAAGAATCAAGTTCAAGCATTTCGACCGTATATAATAAAATGATTATTATTACTGTGATTCATTATCAAATGTATGGTAAATTCTGATGTAATCTTGGTAATAATTACCGAGGAATAAATAAGCTTCCTATCTGTGTAGTTATTATTGACGTCATCATCATTCAATTAATCATAAAATGGTTAAATTTAACCAAAAAGTAATGTGAAAAAAAATTTCTGTCTTTGCTGTGGTAATGTTTTTTTTGTTCTGGGCCATTTTGGATGAAACAAAAAATTAATTTAGTTCATCAAAATGGCCAAAATATCAGGAATCAGATATAATGCGGATGAACAAAAAAAATGCCGGAAATGTTTAATATCATTTCAAAAGAGGATTTTCACTTGAAAACAACTCAAAAAAAAAACAGACAGAATCATTATTCTGTTGTTCAGTTGTTTTTTTCGGCTTTTTCTGTTCTTGAGAATTTTGTTGTTGTTCACAATCTTAATTATACAAACACAAATGACCAAAAATGATAATGATAAAATTAATTATTAATCGACAATAGAAATGAAACATAATGAATGAATTCATGTAATCGACCAATGAAAACATTATTATATATTCGCTCTTAATACGATTAACATGATCATGATCATGATGATGATGATACGGCTCCAGAATCGAGAATCTAACGAATAAGATGTCGACAATGTTATTACTATTATATTCAAATGAAAAAAAGGTCAGATGAATGAACAAGAATTTCCAATTCTAAAGAGAGAGAGAAAAAAAAAATCTTATCACTGAAATTTCCGTTTCTTTTGGCCAATAATAATTTTGTGTTGAATATTTCATTCATATGATAATGAAGAAGTAGAATAAACACAACACAAAAAACACACATGTTCATTCAAATGTTAATAAATTTTCATCAATGTTGTTGTTGTTGTTGTTGTTACCGTAATCGAATGAACAAAACGGAACAAATAACCGAATCAGAAAAAAAGCAGTGAAATAATACAAATGAACAAAAACAGAACCAAAATGGTCAAAAAATATGGACCGGAAATTTGGTGGAAAAAAATTTTTAGAAAAAAATCAAAATCAAATGAAAAAAAAGAACATTTTCGTGTTTGTTGAATTTCTGTTCATGTTTTGTTGTTGTTGCCATCATTGTTGTCGAAATGAATGTGAACATAGAAACAGATTCAACACATATATGACACATGACAATGACATTTTCAGTTTGAACCAAAAAAAAAAAAATGGATGATGGATCTAGACCACAAAAAACAATTCAGAGAGAGAGAGAGAGAGAGAGAAAAAATGGAAATTCTCAAGAAAAAAAAAGAACCATCATTAATCATTTAGAATGGGACAAGAATCTGGATCATCATCATCATACTAGCTACTACACGCAAAAATATGAGAAAATCTTGGCCTCGTTTGTTACCTTGTGTGTGTGTGTGTGTGTAGAAAAGTTTTTCCATTCTCATTTTCTTCGATTAAATTGCCATTTCTATTACGCATCAATAATTTGAAGAGGTTTTGTGCCATCATCATCATCATCATATCGCTGAAAGCAATTTTAATTTGTACCAGAAAAAAAAATTTCAAACGAATGAAAAAAAAAATGATAATTTCAACAAAATCTCTTGGTCAATTACAGGGGAAATTCAATCGTTGAAAAAATGAAAAAAATTCTTGAGAATTGTGATGTGATCGAAATCTTTTTTTTTTGTTCATTCGTATACACAACAATGGAAAAGCAAAAGTTTTTACTTTTTCTCCGTCTTCACAATTCATCATTTTTTTCATCATGGAAATACTTGAAAACATATTGTTCAATGCAATTCAATGAAGAATCCACCTTGTAATCGAAGAATTAGGTGTGTGTGTGTGTGTTTGCGTGAAATTTGATATCATTGCTCACTTTCAAGATGGTAATAAATCATATGATTCTGATTCTGTGTATGTGTGTGTGTGCGGACATATCAAAATTTAGATTTTTTTTTCTTCTACTTACATGTGCTGGATGATCGGTAGTAAATTTTGATTGTTTTCACCATATTGTTCATTACGACTGAAATGTTCACGATTCAATAATGTTATGCTAAAATCTGTATAAGTAATAGCCGATGGTGATGTATCTCGTAATATAAGATAAACACCTAATACTTTATCATTTGCACGGGTAAACGATATTGCCCAACGATGATAACCATAATAAAAATCTTTTGTTGTTGCATCACGATGTAGATCCCTTGTGACCGATCTAGTAACAATGAATGTAAATATTCCTGTATTGGATCGATCATTTAATTTTGAGAAACGATGTAATAAAGCCATTTTCAATTAATGAAACAGAGAGAGAAAGAGCGAGTGAGTGAGTGAGATTTTCTTTGAAGCTCTTTTTCGTTTACGATAATGATGAAAAAAAGAAAATGTTTCAAATTGATGATCATTTACTTAGTTCAGAGGCCGATAAGAATCGAAATCACATGAAGCTGGTGCTGTGAAGAAAGAAAAAACAAACAAGCAAACAATGAATTAATAACAGTAAACGTGAAAATAAGAAAAAAAAATTGAAAATTTAATTTAAAAAAACTGTCATTTTCGATGATAATTTTATTCATTTCCAATGGGAGAAAAAAATCAACAAAATTCTTCGAATAATCAAGTTTCACGGTGAAAAAAAAAATATGAAACAATTAATTATCAAATTCATGGAACTGACTGACAAGACAATAAATAATCAAGACAGGTGTAGTAGATAAATCAAAATGAAAATGTATGTGTCACGAAAAAAGTCGATCTTCATTCACTTTTCGACATTCGAATACAAAATGTGAATGATGATCATATTACCACACATATATTGTTTTCAAATGTCCACCAACTACCTTTTTTTGTTGTGTGCCCCATCAAAAGTGAATGAGACAAATCGATTCTGGCAAGAAAAGAAAAGAATATTTTCAACAAAAAAAAAAAAAAAAATTCATTTCAATCGATTCTTTTTTGTTGTGAAAACATTTTCATTGTTTATGAACACTGAAAATAAAAACTTTTTGGCCAAAAAATTTTTCCATTCAATCTAGTAGTACTACCACTACTGGTAGTAGCAGTAGGATTCTATTGTTTGGTAGAAAAAAAAACCAATCATCATTGTATGTAACTAGAAAATTTGATATTTTTTTTTTTTTTGCTACTTCTGTTTCTTGAGAATTTTAACAAATGACAAGATCAAACACACACATACACATAGAATTGTGGGAAGCTAATCAAATTGTTCAATTTGTGATGATCAATTTCAATTATTTATATTTATAGAAGATAATAATGAAACACAAGAGTATTCTGGAAAAAACCAACAATACAAACGGAATGACAATGACAATGAAACATGATGATCGTTGTTGTTGTTGTTGTTGTTGTTGTCGAAAAAACATTGTTGAAAAAGTAAAAGAAAATTAAAAAATGAAAATTAAAATGAAATTTCGTAGACGCAAACCCGAAAATGTTCCAACCAAATATTCCGTGTTGATATTCCGAACCAGAATAAAAATGAAAAATTGTCATCATCAAATAAACTCACAGAAAATTAATGAAACACATGGAAAACAAAAAGAATTTTTTGCACACACACACACACAAAAACTCGCTTGCGGGCTGCAAAATAATAAAAAAAACGACAATAAAAATGTGGTGAATAAACAATGGGCCATTTTTTTTCTCAAAGTTTTGGCTCATTTATTTAATGCCCAAGGATTTGTTGTTTTGTTGTTTTGTTTTCCTTAAAAAATAAATTATAATCATCTGGTTTTTTCATCATGCTCACAATGATTATTGTTATCGTTGTCCTCGTTGTTGTCGTTGTTGGCACAATTTATTCTATACACTATTCTGACAAATGAGGTGATATATGTGAAAAAAAATAGAATTCACCCACAGACAGTAGTATCTGTTATCACCATAGAATGGCCGCTATACACGTGAATAATTTCACAGTTATCTTTTAGCCAGGTAAATTACAAAAAATTTTTTTTTTCATACCTACGTTATGGATCACTGATCATTTTTAATGGTTTAAGATATTAGTCTGGAAAAAAAAAATTTTTTTCATTTCATTTCATTTCATAATTCATAATGACAAAACAATAAACAGTCTGTTATCTTTCAAATAGTTTTTGTTTTCATCTGGCTCATATGGAATCTGGTTCATGGCGAGGAAATTCATGAGTGTGAAAAAAAAAACATTTTGTCAAGAATAACGTTAATGAATGCCTAAGGTTTTTTTTTAGGCTCTTCATACTGGCCATTTTTTTCCACTCGATAATGTTTATTTTCGAATTCAATTCAATTTCTATTCACCTAGATTGTTTTTGTTGGAAAAACGTACCTACACACATGTGATGATGATGAACCATACATGAACGACCATAGAATATTAATTGGCAATAGTGCACCATATACGATGATGATTAGAATATGGAAAAATGTGAATCATTCACCCAAAAATAGAAAAAAAAAACGTGAAAGAGAGATATAAATAATGATCGTTTTTGTTTTGTTTTTCAGTTCATTTATTCATAAGTGCATTGTTTTTATTCCAAAAAAAATACATGATCCGAAACACACACACACAAGAATCTAAAAGGCAAATTCTAATCATTTCCATACATATGTGAATGGTTCAAAGAAAAAAAACAATAAACAGAATCATCAAAGAAAAATACATTTGTGATTCGTTTTTTTTTTTCAGATTTCATTAATTGAAATGAAATAAATGTTCAGGAATATTCTGCATTCATAACTGTGGTGAAAAAAAATGTACAATGTTTTCAAATCAAGAATTTAATAATGGGAAAAAAATCCAGATTTTTGGATCCATTTTTTTCCATATTACTTAGAACGAAATTCAAACAATCTTTTGACATTTATATAAGAATGGAAGAAAATGAAAATTCTTGGTAATTTTGCAGACAAAATATTTTCTTTTGTCGATTTTTTTTCTCATTTTTACCGAAAAAAAACGATGACGACGACGACAATCATCATTAATTTTCCAATGATGATGATTGTCATCGAAATTTTTCCACACTTTGGAATGGTAAAAAATAAAATGGCAAATCGATAAAACGCTTTGGCTGTTATCATCCAAAATTGATAATGATATTATGATATGGAAAAAAAGAGGGATCCAAATTGACTGGATCCAAACACACACTCACACACACAATATGCGATTTGGCAATTTTGGAAATTCCCATACAGATGTAAATGAATTTATTATTATTATTTGAACCAATCAATGGGACGAAAAAAAACTGTCATTGTTTTTTTTTATTTTCAGGGGCCAAAATAATAATGACAAGTGCAGATAATTTGCCAGATAAGTATTATTGAACATTCCATAATTCTGTTTTTCTTTCCTCCCTGTCCTCTCCCTCCGTCGAAAAGATGAATGGCATTTAATTTTCTTTTGTTTATTGTCAACACTATCATCATCATCATCTAGATAATCATTTTTATAATGATAATGATCCAAAGTCAAACAATGAACATGACAACAACAACAACAACAATAACGTTCTAGCATTCTTGAAGTTATTAAAGAATTTTTCTCCCTACAGTAAATTTGTCAAAAATGACATGTACAGTGTGTGTCTGTGTGGATATAAAAAGTGGTTTTTTAATTTCTATCTGGTTCTGGATGTGAATGATGAAAATCACAATTTATTAACGGAAATATTCACAGAACAACAATGAAATATTGGAATTTCCGAATAAAATTCTAAAGCTGATTCTTTTGTATATCCGCATCTGCGGCATACATAGCAGCTTGAAAACACAATAACAGAATCAATGATATATGATTATGATGGTGGTGGTGGTGTTGGGTAAAAAAAAACATTCAATAATAATGAAAAAATGCGGATAAACAACAACAACAACAAAAAAAGTTTTAATCCAGTAAGCCAACCAGTCATAGTTGGAATTAATTGCTTCAAATCTATTTGCTATATATGTAACTCATTGATGATCCACAAACCTTCCACATCATCATCATCATTAGAGAATTATTTTTTTTCGGTCAGAATAATTTGGACATCGACAAACAAACAACAACAACAATTCTCTTGTGGCTGAATTTTAATCCCTGTGATTTTTTTTCCATTCAAAATTAATAGCCAAAAAAAGCTGGGTTAAATTTATCGAAAACGATCTGATTAAAAAAATGAATGAATGAATGAATAAAGGAAATCGATTTTTCTGTTTCTAGATTCCGGAAACAAAACTAAAATGATTGTCATTTGACAGAAAAAAAAAAAGAAAGAAAGAAAGAAAATTGTCAAAATTATTCCACAGAATAATTTTCTATTTAACAAGCTACTGCAGTATTCAAATGTCATTTATGTTTTCTTTACCTTGAATAAAAATGAATAAAATATTGTCATTCAAAAGAAACTTTATGTAATTTACCAATAAACGAAGAGAAATTTTTTTTTTATTCTTGAAATGGTTCCCATGAGTAAATACATAACGATAATGAAATTTGAGATATGAAGGTAGCGGAAAAATTCCACTGATGATGAAATGAAACATTTTGAAACAAAACAAAAAAAAAAATAAAAATTCTCCAATTTCAACGTCTGGCCTATTGAATGCAGTGAAATGCGGAAAACATTCCACTGTTTCTAAATGGTTGAAATGAATTTTTTTTTTTGAAAGAAAAAGTCCAAGCATTTCATTCATATCTCTGGTAACAGATTAAAATCAAGCACCGTATCGATAAAAAAAAAGGATGATAATGTAGCTAATCAACGGAAAAAAACAAACAAAAATCGATTCAAACAAACGAACATGGTCTACACCCAAATTTCAGTTATTTTTTTCATCACTGCATTCATGAATATCATGGTTGTTTTTGATGATTTATTTTCTACTTCATTCTCATTATATTTATTTCATATATAATCATCAAAATGGCAATATGTCTGACATTCGAGAGCATTGTTTTTTTTTTGTTTTGTTTTGCCCATTATTAAACAAATTAAGTTACAAGTTTTATCATTCATTTATGAATGAATCGATGAATGAATGTAAAACATACATAAACACACACACACACGATAATCACTTGAAGAAAAAAGCTTTTTTTCGAATAATGTTATCTAGATAGATATAAATGATGATGGCCAGAATCATAATGAATTAACAATGATGATGATGATCATCATGATGAAATCCATTATGATTAATGATATCAAGAACCGATAAGCAATGACAATATATCGTTTTTTTTTCTATTGCACTCAAAAAAATCTCCAACTCCACCCCCCCAGTTTGGGAAGCATAGAAAATAAGTATGAGGTATTACACTTTGAGTTTGTATACACTTCAACTGCAAACTGTGCCGCTACTTTGTAAGAAAAAAAATTGGGGGTTTTGTGTGTGTAGGGGGAATAAATGTGATTTATTCATTTTGTTTTTGAATAATGATGTAAACAAA